ACCGTATTGGGGGTTAAGTTTCAACATGAGCTTGGGGGGACATTCAAACTACAGCACAGGCCATCTCTGTTCATTGCTTGCATTTGTTATTCCATTTTTGAAGATTGCTTTAAACATTTTATACATAGCTGTTCTATAGTCCGTATTTAACAACCCAACATCTGAAGTTCTTGAGAATGTAAATCTGTTGTTTATTGTTCCTGACACCTCCCACTGATGGCTGGCTCATGCACTCATATAGGGAGTGATTATTTAAAACTTTTCGGTTAGTTTTACTGTGTATATTTAAGGTGTACAACATTTTTTGATATACATAGTGAAATTGTTATGATAGTCAAGCAAATTAACATGTCCATCATCTCACATAGTTACCCTATTTTTTTATTTTTTTTTGTGGCAAGAGTACCTAAAATCTACTCTCTTAGAAAAAATCCTGAATACAGTACAACATTGTTAATTATAGTCCTCATGTTGTACATTAGAATTCTAGACTTACTCATCCTACATATCTGCAACTTTGTATCCTTTAACCCACATTTCCCCATTTCCTGTTTCTCCAGCCCTGCCCCTTCTAATCACTGTTTTATTTTCTATTTTTATGTGTTTTACTTTTTTTTTTTTGATATTTATGGAATGATTTCTGATTAAGAACTCATGTGTGCTTGATCTTAATGTATAGGAATCCTGTGAGCCTAAACTGAGCATTATGTCCTCCAAAACCAATTCATCTCTGCCTGGGCTGGGAGCAGGAAGTGCTGACATCTGAGACCACCACCTGCATTTTTTTTTTTTTTTTGTCCTTTTTGAGACCGGCCGCACCGCGCTCAGCCAGTGAGCGCTGTGAGTGCACTGGTCATCCCTATATAGGATCCGAATCCGCAGCGGGAGCGCTGCTGCACTCCCAGCGCCGCACTCTCCCGAGTGCACCACGGGCTCGGCCTGACCACCAGCTGCTTTTGAGGGGTTGAGCTTAATTCTGGAGTCTCTATCCAGCTCCCCCCTCTTACTGCTAGCCCAAGGGAACAAATCCCAGTACTGCTATTAATGTTTACACTCACTCAGGACAACCCTGTTCCAACACTTGCTCACCGCTCACAGTTCCCAGCTCCAGTTTTGGCCCCTTCCTTGAATATCAAAAAGTAGCAAATAGCTTTCTCCATCTTAAAACTTTATGGAACTGTAAGAACATAATTAGTCTATGAATTACAGTTATGTACACAGATTATAGTTTAGGCAATCTATAGCCATCAACTGAAGGCTAAAAGCTATTGCTTTATAGAGCAAAGGACAGGTTTTCAATGACCAAATCAAGTGCAGTTCTGAACCATTGTGGAGAATGTGTAAATTTTCTCATGGGTCCTTGCTCAAAGTTAAAAGTACCATTTAACAAATAGCACATATTGTGTGATGACCAATCCTGTCCTCTTGTAGCAGCACTTGTGTTATTGATGGTGCCTGAATGACCAAAGCAAGGCCAAAGTTCGCTTATATTTTTAGGGATCTTAAATGGGATGTTTGTGTCTTGAAATGATAGCTTACACAGATTCCTCCATGAATCACTTACCTTCCCCATATGATAGCCTAATTTTAGCTCCTTTTGCAGGATCAGTATTCAAGCCATTCACTAAGACCTGTGTGTCCAATAACTGCTTTCTACAGAGACAAATTAAATGTCCCAAGATCTGTTCCAGGATATGTCGTAACACTCATGAAATTAGCCCAAGAGTGAGCCCTGCTTCTGCTTAGCAGATCTTAAGACCAGGACTCATTTTTCTGCCTTCATATTTGCACTGGGCTATATTACTGTGGGAACATGTTTAATCATTGCATGTTAACTTTGTCTTCTGTAGCATTATTATAATCTTACCCCATTTCTGCTTCACAAGGTGGAAGGGGATCAGGCAGTGGCTTCTGTAGTCACAGGGAACTTACAGGAGAGCAGGGAATTTCCTAGAGGATGTTCTAGATTGGAATACATGGGATCATGTGTACATAAGCTAAGCCCTGGGAATGCTCCTAGACTCCACAGGCATGTGGACACACCCTAGTGCATGCTCAGTACATTTCTCACCTTCTCTTGAGGACTTGCCAGCCCCTTGATTAGATCATTGAAACTAATCCATTAATACCGTGGTCTTTCTGGCAAAAAGTCGATCTTTACTGATGGCTTTTTGAGTATAGTATTTTATATACTTGTGTATGAAAAAGATTGAATTGAAGGATGTAACAGTATTTTAAATCTCTGATCATTTTTGTGAATCATGCTTACTTTTTTTTCTATTTCTGACATGTATTTGAAAGTAAATTTCCTAAAGAAGAATGAATTGCACTTAGACAGTTAAAACTCCATGAAATATACCCTCTAAGATAGAGCACAAGAGAAATATCTCTGCCTTCACCATCTTCTTCTTATTCACAATGCTCAAAGTTCTAGATAGTGCCACAAGGCAAGAAAAAGAAATAAAAGGCATACAAAATGGAAGGGAAGAAATAAAACATTTGCAGATGGCCTGATTGTCTACATAGAAAATCCCAAGTCATCCTCAAAACAAATTACTTGAACTAATAAGTTCAGCAAGTTCACAAGATACACACAAAAATCAATGACATTTCTATATACTAACAATGAACATGTGGAAAATGAAATTAAAAACACAAAAATGAACCTCAATCTAAAAATCATAACCTAGGGGCTGGCCCGTGGCTCACTCAGGAGAGTGTGGTGCTGATATCAACAAGGCCACGGGTTCTCATAGGGATGGCCGGTTCGCTCACTTGTTGAGTGTGGTGCTGACAACACCAAACCAAGGGTTAGGATCCCCTTACTGGTCATCTTTTAGAAAAATGGGGCTGGCCCGTGGCTCACTCAGGAGAGTGTGGTGCTGATATCAACAAGGCCACGGGTTCTTATAGGGATGGCCGGTTCGCTCACTTGTTGAGTGTGGTGCTGACAACACCAAACCAAGGGTTAGGATCCCCTTACTGGTCATCTTTTAGAAAAAAAAATAAATAAAAAATAAAAATCATAACCTTATTCAAAAATTGATTCAAAATGGATCATAGACTTAAAATATAAAACTATAGAAATTTTTAGGAAAAAAAACTAAGAGAAAACATCAAGATCTAGGGCTAGAGAAACTTACAAACTTGATCTATAATAGCAAAAATTGGTAAGTTGGATCTCATGAATATTAAAAACTTTTGTTCTGTGAAAACCCATGTGCAATGGACTGAATGTTTGTGTCCCTCCAAAATTCATATGTTGAAATCCTAACCCTCAATATGATGTTATAGGAGGTGTGGCCTTTGGGAGGTAATTAGGTCATGAGGGTTCTTGAATGGGATTAGTACCCTTATAAAAGAGACCCCAGGGAGCTGACTTGCCCTCTTTCTACAAAATGAGGACACAGTGAGAAGATGCTCAGCTGCAACCAGGAAGTGGTTCCTCACCAGAACCCAACCAGGCTGGCACTCTGACCTTAAACTTCCAGTGTACAGAACTGTGAGAAATAAATGTTTGTTGTTGGAGCTACCCAGTCTATGGTATTTCTGTTAGAGCAGCCTGAGCTGATGAAGACTCTGGGAAGCAGATGAAAAGACAAGCCACAGACTGGGAAAAAATATTTGCAAACCACATTTCCAACAAAGGGCTAGTGTCTAAAATGCATGAAGAACTCTCAAGATTCAACAGTTAAAAAAAGCAAACATTTCAATTAGAAAATGGTCATAAGACATGAAACAGACATTTTACCAAAGAGGATATACAGATAGAAATAAGCTCATTAATAGATTGTTCGATATCATTAGACATCAGAGAAATGCAAATTAAAACCCACAGTGAGATATCATTAACACACCTATCAGAATGGCTAAAATAAAAATTGAGACACCATATGCTGGCAGTGATTCAGAGAGACTGGATCATTCCTGTATTGCTGATGGGAAAACAGTTACTCTGGAAAGCAGTTTGGCAGTTTCTTATAAAAGTAAACATGCAATTATCATATGACCCAGCAATTATAATCTTGGACGTTTATCCCAGAGAAATAAAAACTTATGTTCACACAAAATCCTATACACAGATGTTCACAGCAGCTTTATTTGTAATAGCTAAAAACTGGAAACAACCCACATACTTAAGTGATGATGATTAAGCCAACTGTGGTACACCCACATCATGGAATACTACTTAGCAATGAAAAGGAGTGAACTATTGATATGTGCAGCAACTTGGATGAATCTTAAGGGAGTTAGGCTGAATGAAAAAAGCCAATTCTGAAAGGTTACATGCTGTATGATTTCATTTATGTAGCATTCTTGAAATGACAAAATTGTAAAAATGGAGAACAGACCAATGGTTGACAGAGGTTAGGAAAGGGAGTTTGAGCAGGGAGAGAGAGGTGGGTGGTTCTATACAAAGGCAACATGTGGTGGGGGACTCTTGTGGGGATGGAACTGTTGTGTGTCTTGACTGTATCACTGTCAACCTCCTGGCTGTGATTCTGTACTATAGTTTTGCAGGATGCTACAATTGGAGGCAAGTGAAAAAATGGTACATGGGATCTCTCAGTATTATTTCTTACAACTGCGTATGAATCTACAATTATCTCAAGATAAAAAGTTTAACTTAAAATCTTGGCATTTTATTAAATACTGGTCAAAATTTTTGAGTTACAGGTTGTGATTGATAAAAATTGCCCACCTCCTTAAATGTTGGCCATTTCCAGGTTTTCGTAGACATTTGACTGACTACCTAATAGTTATCAGAATTGTAAAATACTTCATTTGGTTTTAAGAATAATTTGATCAGCATTGTAAAAGGATAACGGATGTGTGTATATTAAGAGCCAATTTTAATTATTGAAAACACAGCACAACAAAACCTTTGTGAAGTGGACGGCAGCTGACCAGTCTCATTCTGGACCCCCACAGAGGGCTAAGGATTCTGCTGTCTGGGCTGCCAAGTCGAGGCTGACATTCTCCCGCATCTTTTCTCATAGGATCTGCTCTTCAGCGTGTGCGCCCTCAACGTCCTGTCCACTATTGTGTGCGCGTTGGCCACGGCCATGTGCTGCATGCAGATGGTCTCCTCTGACATCCTGCAGATGGTGAGTGGCTCCTTCCTCCCCAAGCACACTCAAAGTGACCACCTGATCCCCTGCTCCTCTAGCCAGTATGAAACCAGTGTAGGAGAACGGCTTCCAACTACAAGAGGTGGGGACGATAGCACTTGGAGGTCCTTGGAGGTCACCTCGTGCTGCCCTCTGGAAGATGGGGCATCCATCCATTTGAGGCTGTTGAGTATTTATTTCAGGTGTTGTTGGAGTTCCATGTTGACAGAGCCCTGTGACCACCCTGTCCTCTCAGACGGCCTCTGGCCTGTGCCCCTGAGTAATGTTAGTGAAAGTCCTGCCACCCTAGACGTCCCCTAGGCTGGCACCTCCAAACCATGGTGCCTTCCTCAGGCTTCAGAATGCATTTTCAATAAAAGCAGTTTAGGGTTATTAGAAGATGAGTTCTTCTCTTGTTGAAAAACTGCTAATCTGTGCCTTTTAGATTTGCTAATTAACCCTGAGCTCATAAACCAGTGGCATCCTTGGACCCTCTGGCCAGGGTCTCACAGAGGAAGATCTGCTGCTCCCAGGGGGAGCCATGAGGCCAGGGGCAGGGGTCACACACTGATTAATACACATTTATAAATACACACTTCATTAATAATGAAGGCGCTTCATTGTTTCAATGCGAATGGAACACAGCCCACCGTGTAGTGTGTCACCACTAAGCTAAGGACAATAAAGAGAAATTGGTGGGAAGATATTGTTCCTCGATGCTGAGGGTAAGAAACTCTCTCTCTCTCTCTCTCACTCTCTCACTCTCTACCCCCTCTACTCTGTATGTCTGTCTCTGTGCGTCTCTGTCTGTCTGTTTCTGTCTCAACTTCTCTGCCTCTCTCTATCTCTTTTTCTGTCTCTATCTCTGTGTCTGTCTCTCTGTCTCTCTCTCTATGTCTGTTTCTGTCTCTATCTCTGTGTGTATCTCTCTGCCTCTCTCTGTCTCTGTCTCTGTCTCTCAACTTGCCACTGTGAGACTTAACCGGTCTCCCACCCGCTGTATTATGCATCCCATGAAAGAAAAGGCAAGCTGTTCTTGTAGATTTTTAGATTTGTTCTTTCTCACCCAGCCCATGGCGATAAATCAGTTAATCAAGATATAGGGCCAAGGAGAGCATCATTACCAAGGCATTAAAAATTCAGTGTCCCTAATCGTATGCAAGTGAGCCCTCCCTCCCAGCACGTACCCACAGCTGTCACAGCCGCTGACCTTTCCGAGAGGTTGCAGTTTTCTGAAAGGTATCTAATTAAGCAGTTATTCAGCAGCGATGACCTTTTGGCCCTGTTCCCTGAGGCCCCGTGTTGGTGATTTTCTCCAGCGTGTTGTGTGAAGGAAAGGTTAAACGCCAAGGGGTTCCACTCACCTCAGCAGATTTTACTACTGATCTGTAAATATCACACCAATGCGACCAAACTCACAGAACTAAAGACTGTAAATGCTAAAAGTTTGCATTCCCCTGATTTTAAGTATTAAAATGAAAACTGCCAACTAAATAAAAATGAAGTATGGTCTAGCTATGATAACATTTACAATTACAACACAACGTGCATCATCATTATGTACAGATAAGCATCGCTGATTGACAGGGTTACATTCTGAGAAATGCGTCGTTAGATGATTTTGTCACTGTGCAAACATCATAGAGTGTGCTTACACAAACCTGGACAGTACAGCCATTATAATCTTATGGGACCACCATCATATATGCTGTTCATCATTGACCAAAACATCGTTATGTAGCATACGACTGACATGTGGAACATGATCAGGCTGGAGTTATGGGTCTGAAGTCAGGCACGTCTGGGTCTGAGTCCCACCTCTTCTGCGTATGAAGCAGGTGATTCTGGGCACATCCCTGAATGACCTGTGCCTCAGTTTCCTCACCTATGAAATGGATCTAATGGAGTACCTGGTGATCACTCAATAAGTGTGATCTATTTTTATTTTTAAATGTGGAGGGAACATCAGTTTACTATTGGGACATCACAGCAATGACTGCGAGGCAGTGGCGTTCTAATGTACTTCATCAGCTGTAAAGCACTGTGTGAAAGTAAGGTATTGCTACAGTTACAACAGCCATCCTCAGAAGCCCTGGTTGTTTCATTGCTAATTACGTTGTGGGTTGTTGGCTTCAGACCCTGGCTTGGAAGTAGAAATACTTGAGTTTCCTGCTGGTGAGCCCTCCCTGTGTGCCCTGTGCTGCGGGAAAGGCAAGGCTCTGCTCCCCCGGTGAGACCTGGCTCTGCTGCTGAGCGTCAGAGTCACGAGCAAAGCCAAGGGCAACTGTGGCATATGGCCGTGGTGCGTGATCGTGGGCACATCATTACTTATTGGTCCCTGTTTCCTCTCCTCTAAATAAGATGAAGTTTTTGTCTTGCTATCCTCACAAAACCACTGAGAGAATGAACCAGGTAATATGTGGGATAGAGCTTTGAAAAGCATGGTGGCCCCACAGAGGCCAGCTTTTGCCATGGGGGTTGGAGGCTGGGCCAGGCTGGCTGCACAGACTTTGCCTGCAGAGAAGTGAGGAAGCCCTGAGGGATGGAATCGGGAACTGAGCTGTTCAGCAGGATGACTCAGATGCTCTTCTTAATTTCATACTTCATCTCATTAGCTTCTTTAATGAAGTAACATATGATCACTGAAACAAGTAAAATAATACAGCAGCATGTAAAGAAAAAGTCGATAAGCTTTCTTCTCCCACCTCATTCCCTGCTAACACTTTGCAGTGAGCCCTGCCATTTCTTCTTGATTTTATTAAATAAACATATACAAATAGATCGTCCATCTTCAGTTTCTCCCTTCCTTCCTCTTTTCTTCCCTCCTTTCCTTCATCCTTCCTGCCTCCTTCCTTCCCTTTTTCCTTCCTTTATTCCTTCCTTTTAGCCAAAATGGGAATTACACCATTCATATTACTTACTCTGCAGCTTGATTTTATAACCCAAAGCTATCACAAATATCCCTCCAGGTTAATAGAAAGAGATTATTTTAATATCTGTATTGATCCATAATATGGATGTAATGTCAGTTATTTGGCCATTTCTTTATTTGCAGATTCTTGATTTCTCTCCTGTTTTTGTTCTGGGTTTTGTTTATACCTGTGCTGCAGTGAGCTTGTGCAGATACTAGTAGTCTTGTAAGCAACCTCTGCTAAACCACTGGCAAGATAGCCACGGTTCTCCATCCCGTCTGTAGAATGCAATACCTGCTGCCCACAGCACCATTCCCCACTAGGAGCCCCTCCAATTCACCCCCACACCATTTCTGTTCCCAGAAGCTGGGTCATAAGCTTTCCTAGGGACAGCTGTAGGTATTCCCAAACCTGTTTATTCCAGTGCTGTTTGGATTACATATTCTGGTACTATATAAACCAACCAGATATGAATACAAAAGGATAATAGTTTCTGTTACAATAAAATTGAGTGCTCTGGAAAGATTCAGTGAAAGAATGTTGCTAAACATGTTGCTCTCAATTAAGATGTGGGTGAGACAACTATAAGGAATTGGGATAAAAACAAAAAAACTCTAGGGGAAGTCTACACACACAGTGCTTGATAATTGCCTTTAAATTCTAGTTTTGCTTTAAAAATTGTGAGGAAAGTGGAGTCAGTATAGTTAGGCCCCCTCACCTCATATCCGGCTGGGTATGATTCAGCACCTCTGTTGTAAACAAGTTATGTAAGAGTGGTGTAACCGTGCATGCATGCCCATATACTCCTTGGCTCATTGCTATTGTTGTGTACTTTCGGTATAAAAGGCAATGGCTCTGATCTGCTGGCGGCAGAGCTCGCATCGGAATAAAGCATGTTTATCCTGTTATAGGCCTCCAGAATTTTTTTCCAACTACCTGACTCATGACCTGCATAGGATGGGGCAGAGGGATCTATGATCAAGCCCGACAAAAATACAGAAACAGGAGGTTGGGTAGTGTCTTACAGGTGTAGTTTATGCAAGAAAGACTATGGGTGGGCACTCCACACAGCAGACTGTGGCTCACAGCAGAGGCTTTAGCCTGGCATGTATGCATATGTGGTTTTTTTCCTTGACCCCTGGGGTGAGGGGTGTCAGATAACAGCTGTCTTGACATACAATTCACATACCATACAATTTATCCATTTACATGTACCATTCAGTGGTTTCAGTGTATTCACAGAGTTGTGCAGCCTTCACCACAATCCAGTTTAGAATATTTTATCATCCTAGACAGAAACTCTGAACCTGTTAGTATTTACCCTCAGTTTCCTTTCCAACCTCCACCTCTAGACAGTCACTGATCTATATTCTGTCTCTGTGGATTTGCCTGATCTGTACATTTCATATGAATGGAATGATATAGAATGTGGCCTTTTGTGTCTGGTTTATTTCAATGAGCCTGATGATTTCAATGTTCAGCAGTGTTGCAGGATGTATGGCCTTTTGTGTCTGGTTTATTTCAATGAGCCTGATGATTTCAATGTTCAGCAGTGTTGCAGCATGTATCCGAACTTCATTTTTTTATTTATTTTATTTTTTTATTTTTTTTGTCTTTTTGTCTTTTTTCCGTGTCCGGCAACGGATCGCAACCCTCAGTGTTGCCCCCGTACCGGACCGGGGACCGGCAACGGGATCGCAAGCCTCGGTGTTGCTCCCGCGCCTCGCTCAGCCAGTGAGCGGGAGCCGGTCTGTATGTGGGATCCGAACCCTCGGACGGGAGCGCCGCCGCGCTTCCCAAGCGGCGCACTATCCAGTGCGCCACCGGGCCGGCCCGAACTTCATTTTTTTAAATGGGTGAATAATATTCCATTGTATCAGTATACCACATTTTGTTTACCAGTTTAGCAGTTGATGGTCATATGGGTTGTTTACACTTCTGGCTATTATGAATAATGCTTTTATGAACATCATTGTACAAGTTTTTGTGTAGACATATGTTTTAATTTCTGTATCAGTATACCACATTTTGTTTACCAGTTTAGCAGTTGATGGTCATATGGGTTGTTTACGCTTCTGGCTATTA